AAATATTAGCTCAGTGTTTTCTCTTAGCAGCAGCTAGGGAGAGCCCGTGACACCCAACTGGGGCAGACAAGTTCTCACACGACCATGGTTGGCAGATGCCAGACAGTTGCAGGTACATTAGGATGCCACCCCAGTGTCATTGACCCGGGGTCAGAGCCAGTCTTCACCTGCCTGGGCCAGACTGAAACCACCCCGGGGTGGGGCAAGCACCTTCTGCCTGCCCTGTAAAGAAGGCAGATTTCCAGGGGATGCCTTTCTGAAAAGGGGCAGTGACCCGGGGACGTTTGGATCCTCTGCCTGGAACTCATGAGCTTTGGTGCTTCTGCCTCTAGTGTCCTACAGGACGTTGGGCTCTGCAGCTTTGTGGTGTTTGTATATACTGTTTGCATTATGTCGGCCTCTTGACAGTGCCCACTCCAGAGCACCGACAGGTGGGCAGACGGGCCCGCTGCCCGGCTCTGTAGAGTCTAGGCGCCATGTCCTACGCTGGCCAGACCAGCGGAGGGAGGGTTCCCGTTAGCTCTGTCAGGGACAGTCAGCAGCCCGATGGGAGCCGAGGACCATAGCCGGCCACTGCTGAAACGCGTTTCTCACCCCTTCTCAGCGGCCTTGGCACGAGTATGAGCACAACTTCCAGATCATGTACAAGGTGGGCATGGGGCACAAGCCCCCCATCCCAGAGCGGCTGAGCCCGGAAGGCAAGGACTTCCTCTCGCACTGCCTGGAGAGCGAGCCGCGCATGCGCTGGACGGCCAGCCAGCTGCTCGACCACTCCTTCATCAAGGTGCGACCTGCGCGTCCCCCGGAGATGGAGCGGGTGGGCTGGGCCCGGCAGCCTCAGGGTCTGCGGGGCTGCTCAGGGGGAGTAGGGGCATGGGGGTGGGACACGGAGGGGCCAGGCGAGGGAGTGCCCCGGGGCATGGCATCCCCTCGGGGATAACTCTCCAGCACCCCCGCCCAGCCCTGTGCCCCCGTCTCAGCTCCGCACCCTCCCGCTGCCTCACAGGTCTGCACGGATGAAGAGTGACCGTGACTCGCGCTCAAGTCCTGCAGCGCCCTTCCCCTCGAGGTGGCCCGAGGGTCTGCCGGCGACCTTCCCGGACATGGCGGCAACGCCCTCACTCCTGCTGCTCTCTCTGATGGCCGTGGCCGGGCGCCCGAGATCAGGAAGCTGCGTGTTAAGTGCCATTACTACTGTACAGGGACCAGCGCTCGGGCGCTGCCTGGCAGACAGGCTGGGGGCGGGGCCGTGGGCCACCAGCCCTGTCTGTCCGTCCATCTGTCCGTCTGTCCGTCCTGCACTGACTGTGGGCCCTGCCCGTCCCGCTGTGTTGGCGGCGTGAGCCGCAGGTTTGTTATGCAAAAGGCCGATGAATGAAATTTAAAGAAAGTTCTTTTTTCAATAAATGGTTTATTTTAGGAAGCCCCGTGCCCCGTGGTTCTCGGCGCTCCGTATGGTCAGGAACCAGGCTCCTGCAGCCTCCAGGGGCCCCGCATGGCCAGCAGGGCGCTTGCTGCCAGGGGATCCTGCCGAGGGCATGCGGCGCATCCCACATCACCACAAACCCTGCCTGCCGTGGGGCCTTCTCCAGCCGGGGATGGCTAGAGCTGGCAGCTGCCTCCCACTGCTCCTCCGAGAAACCTGTTCTTGGCCCGAGGCTCCCAGGAGGCTGCTGGGCACAGGGTCCTTGGGAGGCCATGCTGGGCCCGGGAGGCCGCCCTGGGTGTGTCCTCAGTGCCAGGCCTCAGGGCTTCCTTGAGTTGTGTCTGGCCCAGGAACTGAAGTGAACAGTCGTCTCGGGTCACAGGGTCCCTTCTCCCTCCCTCCCGCCCGCCCGCCCGCCTGCCCGCCTGCCCGCCGGGCCTTGCCTTGCCATCGAGGTGTCATTCACAGGGGAGCAGCCTTTCCCATAGAACATCCTAGCACATTCTCCTGGGCCCATGCGAGACCCCGCCGCAGATAGCTGCTCCACCACTCCCTGCCTGGGCCTCTCTGGGCTGTCCAGACTGTCTCACAGGCCCCTCCCACAGCCTGGCTCAGGGCTTCGCCCCTGTGGCGTGCATACTGGCAGCCCTTCCGTTCACAACAGAATCCCTCACCTGCCGACTGGCTCGTTCTGGCGGGTGCCAGAGAGGGGAGCAGCTGTACAGCCACGGGACCCCTGCCCGCTTCTCCGGGCGCCACACTCACCCTGCCTGCCTCAGGGAGCCACCCGTGCTGCCTGACTCCCACATCCCCACCCTCCCTGCATGCGCAGGGAGCATCTGGTTCCAGGCTCACTTTTCCGGGTTTGGGCCACTTCTGGGCTCCTCCAGCTCCATCCTGAGGCTCCCGCCCCGCCCATCCCCAGGGAGGCCGACCCCTGTGTGGGCGCTGGTGTGGGTGCTCCTCTGCTTTTCCTTTTTCCTTTTCTGAGGTGCTGTGGTTGGGTACAGAGCCTCATGCCCCCGGCCGTCAGCTCTCCAGAGCTCCCCTTCGCCCTTTGCCCTTTTGACTGGGGGTCGCTGTTGGTGACCAAGCCTGAGGCGTGGTCCCGTGTCTGGGCGTGATCGCCACACGCGGCCCTCCCCGCCCGGGACTTGGCCTTCCACACTGCTTTCCAGTTTGTCTCTGGGCCTCCCCGGGCAGTGGTCAGATAGGCTTGCTCGGCCTGGGCACTGCCACTCCCCGCCCACTTTCCCTGCATTAATGACATCCTTGGGGCTCGAAGTCCGGCTCCACTGTGAGGAGTCAGGCTCCTTGGTCTCTGGAACCACACCCCGCTCTGCAGAAGTGGGCCTTGTGGAGTGTCAGGGATCAAACCCGGCCACCGCATCCGAGTACTTCCCTCCCGGGCTCTCCCAGGCCCTGTTGGCCATTCTCTGTTGTACGCACTCGGTGCTCTTTCTAAGAATGACCGCCCGACCTAAGCAAAGAGGGCTCATACCTGCCCCTTCCAGTTCTGGTGTGCAAGCTTTCGTGTAGGCCTGTCTTATGTCCCTTCCTGTTGTCATCAGAGAGGGGCCCCAACGTGCCCGCCCGCACAAGGACTGTTCGCTGGCCGCCCCCTCGGCCTGGACCGCGCGCTGAGCACAGGCTTCTGCAGGGGTCAGGCTGCACTCAGGGTGCTCGGGGCTCATTCCTGCCTCTGCGCTCAGGGATCACTGCTATAGTGCTGGGGTCAGGGCCTTCCCCAGCCGTCCCTCCGCCCCAGCGCCATTCTTCCTAGATTGTTTTGGCTGTTATGGGTCATGTCTAGCTCCCTGCGAATGGATGGATTGATTTGCCAGTTTCTATTGCAAAACAAACTGCTGGGGTTCTGGCGGCTGCCCTGACCCTCAGCCAGCAGGAGCGCCTCCCCGGCCCACGGGTGGCTCTGGGTCCCCGGATGTGTATCTGTACTGCTGGGCCATGTACATGTGTACATGTTCGTTCCCCGAGGCTCTGCTGCCACCAGAAACGCAGAGTGCCTGTGCCCGGGCAACCGTTACCAACGGCACTGCCAGGGCCTCTGCGCTCGTATCCCTTCCGCCAGCCCCGGGCCTCCAGCCCCATCCAGACACATCGCTGAGCGCTGCTCCCCAGACCCTCGCGAGCCGGACCTGGACCCGCGGGCTTAGTGGTTGTGCTTCTCTGCACGTTATTGACCAGTTCAAAGAATCCGCTCCAGCTTCAGCGGGGTCAAAGACAGTGCAGCAGGTTGGGCTCTTTGGATCCTTGGGCCCCAGATAACCCCCCCCCCCACCAGGATGAAGAGTGATCCCAGAGCAGAGCCAGGGCCCACCCCTCTTGGCCACTAAGCTGGGGGCAGGGGGGCCGCTGTCCCGGACAGCTTGCAGGATGTGTGTGAAGGGACACTGTGGTCCAGCGACACCAACTCCAGCGAGCAGCCGCGGGTCCCAAATGCCAGCACCTGTTGCCTGCCTGAGCCCCCGGGGGGGTGGGGGTAGGGGCAGGCACAGGAAGGGGTGAGCAGGCAATGCCATCCTGCCTTTGGGACACTGTGTGGGTGTCCAGCTGCCACATGCTGGGCCCAGGCTGGTAGGGGCCGCCTGTCCCCTCACCTCCCCGTGCCCCACACCCCTGCCTCAGCCCCAGGGGCATGTGAGCTGCCAGCCGGCGGTCACCAGCAGCACCTCGGCCTGTCACACTCGGCCCTGGCCCAAGGATGGCCCAGGCCTGCTCGCCCTGAGGGTGCTGGCCCCAGTGGCCCTTTTCTCTTGGATTCTAGGCCACTCCTGGTGGTGCTCGGGTCTCTCCGGAGGTACCGGGGAGCAATCCTGGGGTTCCCATACAGTCTGTGCTCGGCCCTTTGAGTTTCTCAGGGCCTCTAGAGCCTGTTTGTATCGGGGGAGGGGGGCGCACACACACATACAGTGCTCAGGGGGCATATGTGGTGCTGGGGATCAAACCTAGGTCAGCCACATGCAAGGCAAGACCAACCCACTGCGCTAGCCAGCCCCCCTGTACCCCAGCACCACCTGGGGGTCTGTGAGTCCATCTCCTGCGGGGAAAATGAAGCAGAGGCTAGCCGGAAGTGGACCACGACTGCCCTGTCAGGTTCCCTGCCATGCCCAGTACCCCCCAAACGTGCGCCGGGCCTCTCCCTGTCCCCGTCCCTGCAGCCACTGTCCAGGGGTTGTAAGCAGTGGGGGGTCCCACACGGGCAGGAATGTGGCCTCTGTGGGCGTGTGCAGGGACCCCTGCCCCCGTGGCGTGCTCCCCCCAGCCGAGCGGAAGGCAGGACGCAGAGTCAGACACAGGCACAGGGGCTGGAGGTGGGATCTAGTCTTTCCAAAGCACCATCGTTCCATCTGGGCACGGGGTGACCAGGACTCGGCATGGAGGGCGGAGAGCACGTACCCCCCGCCCCCCCGCTGCTCCCTCCCCGGGGCGGACGCGCAGGGCCCAGGCGCACCCTCGGGCCCCCCCCGCCCGGGCCTGTCTGGCCTCCCCTGCGGGGCCCCCACACTGGCACACGCCACAGAGCAGGAGGGGAGCCCCACGCGCTCGGGGAAGAGGCACCGGCTGCATCCGCCTCAGTCGCTGTGCCTCTTGCTATCCATGTTGCCATAGGCCGAGCCCTTGTCTATCTCCGTCACGCTGATCATCCATCGCACGCCCACGGACGCTGCGGGGACAGGGCAGGTTAGGGCGCGGCACGGCCGGAGCGAGGCTGGTGTCCCTGGGGCTCCTGCTATCCTGAGCTGGGTGCTGGGGGGGCCTGCAGAGCCTCTGTCGGCCCACCCCCACCCACCCCCTCCTGCGGGCCCTGGCCAGGGCTGCTCCCAGGCACCCCCCACGGGACGTGCTTTCCAGACGTGTTCTCGCCACTGAGGGTGTGAGTGGTTCAGTCCCCAGATGGTCTGCCCAGAACAGTGTCCTGTCTTAACTGACCAGGGCACTGACCACTGGAGGTGGGCAGGCTCCTGGGCTGAGGCCGCTCGGGGGGACACTCATGGGGATCCTATCCCGGGGCGTGCTGGGCAGGGCCGCCCCAGTACCCCACAGGAATCCCCAGGCCGGGGCCTGGGTCCAGCATGCAGAGCACAGGCCCAGGCCTGGGGGCCAGGGACACTCCAGAGGGACCCAGAGGGGTCCTTCATGCACGCAGACCCTTAAGACCTCATCTGCCTGCAGGAAACACAACTGTCCCTGAGCACAAAACAGGTCGGCTGGGCAGCGGGCTCGGCGTTAGTGACCGTCCAGCCCCCAACTCCCGTCCCGGGGACCCACAGGCCGGCTGCTGTCGGGGCCTCAGGGGCGCCTCTGACGTCCGGCCAGGGGCACTCAGGGCCCTCCCACAGGCTGCGCCCGGGCTGCACGTACCCGCGAAGAGGACGAGGATGCAGCTGGCCAGCGTCAGGGAGGAGCCGCTGCGGGCCAGGCTGAGCAGGAAGCGGAGGAAGGGGTAGAGCAGCAGGCAGGCCCAGAAGAGCCAGTTGAGGAGCGCCCAGGGCCGGCGGGCGGTGACCAGCGGCGTCCCGGGGAACGTGCCCGTCCGCGAGTACTCCTCCTGGAAGGCGTCCTGGAGACACAGCTGTCCTGAGCCTCCGGCCATCCATCCCCGCCACGACCCAGTCAGGCCCCATCAGGTGCACGCCACCATCTCGGGCTCCTCATGAGTGCACACACACACACACACACACACACACACACACACACACACACAGAGTCTTCCATCCATATACACACATGCACACGACAGTTCACATGTGCACACACAGGCACATGAACACACAGACACAGCCGACATGTGCATGCACACACACAGGCACAGCCATCTACATACACAGGCACACAACCATTCACACATGCACACACCCCAAGCGCGGCCGACAGTGCCTGCCCCCGATGATCTCCACTTTGTCTCAGACCGCTCAGTCTCGGTGCTCCCATTCCCATGCTGAAATCCTAAGCCTCACGTGACGGTGGAAGGGCTGAGATCCGGTCCCCCATCAGGACACAGGCCAGGCCCCACCACCCGGACAGGCGCGTTTGCACTTGTTTTCAGAAGCCTTCTTGGCTTAGGGGCCTGGACACTCAGCGCGGGCCCTGAGGCTTGGCCAGCTGCGGCTGCAGAAAGACCTGCTCGCCCACCGTGATCCCTTCGCCCCAGCCAGGGAAGAGGCGCAAGCTTTCTGGGGCTCACGGTGCAGACCTGCTCGCCGGAGTCTTTCCCTGGTCAGTCCAGAAATGGAAGTGCGGAGACCTGCCCGCCCGGGGACCGGCTGGGACTGGCGGTGGGCGCAGGGCAGCCATGCTCTCGGCTGGGCATCCCGGGCCTTCAGTGACATCACAGCGTGACCAGTGTACCCAAGGGCTCAGTGTGAGTGCAAGCACAGTGTGGACACAGCATGGGTGTGGGCGTGCGTATTAGTGCAAGTATCAGCCAAGTGCGAGCGGGAGCCAGGTATGAGCACAGTAGCATCAGAGTATGAACAGGAGTAATGCAGAGTATGAGCACGGCAGTTAGGACGAGTGTCATATATTAATATGAGTACTGCAGAGTATGAGCACAGCACGTCAGGACAAGCATGACCGTGAGCATGAATGAGATACTCAACATGAGTGCTGCACAAGCATGAGCGTGCCATGAGCCATGAGTGTGAGCCCTAGCTCGTTTTTCTGAGCACGAGTACTACACTGAATGCCCTGAGTACTGCCGGAGCCTGTGCATGTACTCGTGTAAGCTTACGCATCACCGAGTACTGGAAGGAGCCGGACGAACAAAGCCATGCGGCTGGCGCCAGAGCACATGACCCATGCACAGGCCGGGGAGGGAGAGAGCACAGTTCTGCTGAGCAGCTGCGTGGACCCTGCGGGCAGGCGTGGCCATCCTGCTCCACAGCTGGGCCCTCGATCCAGGGGAATCCAAGTGGACTGAGGCGAGGGTGCCCCCGGGCTGGGCCCTCGGGTGGGACTCCAGCCCCCGCCAGACAGGCTCTGGGTGAGCGTGCGTGGCCCACCCGCCCACAGCAGCCAGAGACCCTGGGCAGGCGGGGCCCATTCTGAGGGGGTCAGGAAAGTGTCCGCATGGTCCGCCCCCACTTCTGCCGGCACTGACCTTCTCCTGGTACAGCTTGTGCACCCAGGCCGAACACGCGTCCTCGGCTTCCGGGACTTCCTCTAGGGGGATCCGCCTGCGGGGCAGAGGCCACGAGTGGGCGGGCGGGACCCCTGCCTCCCTCCCACCCAGAGCTGCCTCAGTTTCCCCGAGGCAGGTCCATGTGCAGAGGCCATGGGGCAAGCAGTGGGACTTGGACAAGAAAGAGGGCCCTCCCACAGGCTCAGGACACCTGCTCCCAGGTGGGGTGTCTGGGGATCTGTGGGCCCAGGGCCCAGCCTGTGCGGAGGGTGCCCCAGACCCCGCCCCCTTCTCAGGCCTGTGATCCCGGGTGCTCACTTACGCCCACCTATCCGTGGACACTTCTGTGTCTAGCACCCTGATTTCCACCAGCCCCGGGTGCCCTGAGGAGAACCACACTCATCCCTTCCCAGGGGCACCCACCAGCCCAGCACGGAGCACAATTTCAGCATCACTTGGGGCCGTGGTGCACCCTGAGTGGCTTGTCCCCCCGGGTGCCTCTGAGTACATGTCCCCCCCCCCCACCCCCCCCCCCACTATGTCCCATGGCCGGAGGCCAGCTCACTTTCTGTGCTGGGATCAAAGGCTTCTAGAAACTTCCTTGGCACCGTGCACTGAGGCAGAGTGGGAACAGGGCATAGCCATGCCCAACAGAGACCAGAAAGGGGGCACACAGGCACCCCCACCACCCCTGGGCTGCCCCCGAATTCCTGCATTTGCTCAGACTTGCAGGGAAGACCTCAACACTTAAAGGGAGCTCGGGCATGAGGAAAGGGACCGCGGAAGACGGGAAGGGAAAGTGGGTCTGGGAAGGGGGTGCGGGAAGGGGGCGTGCAGGGGAATGTGGGGAGGGGGATGGGAATGGGGCTGCCTGGAAGGGGGTTCGGGACCCCCGGTGGACGGAAGTGGCCTCTCCTGCCCTGACATGACCAGAAGCCGGGCCGGACCCAGAGGCAGGCAGGAGGCCGCGGGCAGAGGCCGTACCTGACATACATGTCCGCATGGTATTTCTTCCCGTTGAGAACTCCCAGGAGCGTTGGGTTTTCGTTATCTCTGAAATTGAGTGTACAGTCATATACAGCTGAAACTACAAAGATAAACAGACACAGAGCAGCATATAGCGGGTGCGTCCACGGCCGGCGCCGCCCTGGCCGGCTCTCGGCACCCTCGCTTCTCCCCATGCACAGCCCTGCTGCTGCCTCCTCCCCGTGGGAGCTGAGGGACGCGCCCCCCCTGCACCCGCCCACCCCCGCCCCGCCCAGCCAGCCGGGCAACAGCAGGCTGAGGAGGCGAGAGCTGCTGTCCGGCCCCGGCGCTGCCTGAGAAGAGCTCAGGACATGGACAGGACACTTGGGGCAGCTGCCCGGGGCCTGGTCCCGAACTGTCACGGGGGCAGGAGATGGGGCCAGAAGCAGTGCCCGGTACAGCTCTGCCCAGGGCAGCTACACAGGTGCAGAGGGACATGCAGCACCACTGAGAACACAGCAGACCTCCTCCACACCCCACCCTTACAGGGTGAACAGCCAGGGCCAGCCCTCCCCCTCCACACCTCACCCCTGCCCTGTCCTGGGTCAGACCCTCCCCCTGCCCAGCCACTTCCCCGCCCTGCTACTAGGCACCCCCAGGAGCGTTTCCAGGCGTTTCCGCACCCAAAGACAGCTGGGGGGGGGGGTTATAATGGGGTGCCCACAGCACCACTCGGCCAGACCCTTCCCGACCTCCCAACAGGCACCTGAATGCGGCCGCTCCAGGGTGGGGGAAGGGTCCCACAGAGCCTGGGGCGGGGGCCGCTGGAGGACACCCCCGAGTGTCTCCAGGCTCAAGGAGAGAGGACGAGGATGGGGCCCCAGGGGACAGCAGGTTCAGGCAGCCCTGGTGAGGGGCCCGGGACAGGCCTGTTCACTGTGGAATGGGCTGGGGGAGGAAAGCTGAGGGGAGGGGCAGTGTGACGGCACAGTATTAGGTAGGGGGCAGCACCTGGTGGGCTCTGTCGGGGGCAGAGTGTGCTGCCAGGTGGGCATTAAAGGCCAAACACCACAACATCACAAGCCGGACAGCTGAGCCCGGGATCACACGTCCTATGGCCTTGCAGTACCGGCGCTGAGCAGCAGAGGGCAGCGCTAGGCGTGGGGCCGTACAAGGAAGCGTGTGCACGGATGCGAGGGCAGGGTGGAGAAGGCCACCCGGGGGGAGGGTCCGGGTCAGGTCGGGTCGGGTCCAGGTCGGGTCCGGGTCGGCCCGCGCGTCTCCTCACCTACATTTCTCAGGCTCCTCACGGCCATGGCGAAGCCCTTGGTGCGGGGCAGCAGGTGGTGCTTGAGGCTGGGCAGCCCCTTGGCGCGGGCCACTTGCATGCTGACCTGGTGCTTCTTCTCCGTGAAGCGGGTCCCCTCGCAGTGGATCAGGAACTGGGGGGACAAGCCGGTCACCGCGCACCCCGACCCCGCGGCAAGGACCCGAGCCCCGGGTGTGAGGTGGGGAGACCGCCCCCCACCCACCCCCGGTGACCGGGTTCTGGGCTTCCCATAGGGCTCAGCTCAAGGACACAGCAGGCGGGGCCAGTGCGTGAGTGGGGGTCCGGGGGGAGCAGGGAAAAGGGTCCTGGGGCAGGAGGTCCCAGGGACAGGGTCAGGTGGGGGCTCCCAGGGACAGGGCACGTGGGCAGTCGAGGGTCCCGGGGACACTGGTGTGGGCAGTCAAGGGTCCAGGGGACAGGGGCGTGGGCAGGGATGTGGGCAGTCGGGGGTCCCGGGGACAGGGGTCCGGGGCCACGTACGAAGAAGGTCTCGGGGTAGTCGCGCAGGCACAGCAGGCTCTGGGCCACGGCGCTGCGGTCCTGCTCCCACTTGCGGTTGCAGAAGACCATCTCGGTGAAGTACCACATCCAGCCGATGATGGGCACGTAGGCCAGCTCCTTCTTGGCCAGCACCTTGGCGCTCTGAAACACAGGGACGGGCCGCCTGTCACGGGGAAAGGAGGCGCCCACGCTCACGGCAGGCAGACGTGCTGGAGGCAGAGCGGGAGAGAGTGAGCGTGGGAAGGAGAGGGAGGGGGAGGGAGTGAGTGAGATGGAGTGTGAGTATGAGACGGAGATGAGCTAGCGAGTGTGAGGCTGACTGAGCTGGTCTCAGTCTCACTCGATGCCGCCCTGGGAACTTGGGCTGGGCCTGCCGACACCCACCCGTTTCCCACGCAGGCTCTGGCTGGGCCGTCACCCCGGTCCGGTGCGGGGCCTGTCTCTGGGCCCTGCCGTGGGGTGGCGTGGCCGTGGGTGAGGCCCAGCGGGGTTCCCGGCCGGGATGTCGAGCTGGACCCTGGCTTCGGGGCCCCAAGCTCCGTGGTGCCACACGGCTCTGCCTGCTGCACCCCAGACCCCCAGGAGCCACCCTCCGAGGGGGCGGGAGGGGACCGCACGCACCCCCAGCAGCCCGAAGTGCTCCGACAGCGCCCAGCCGCACAGGAAGTCGATCTCGAACTTGTGGTTGAGGACCACGATGACGCTCTCCTTGCCGAAGTGGGGGAAGTCCCGGGGGTCGGCGTGGATGACGCACTGGGTGCCCGACCACCACTCAAGCAGCATCACCAGCTCTGTGGGGACAGTGTCGGCCGGTCACTGCCCTGGCCCCACACAGGGGCCCAGGGGTGGGGAACCAGCAGGGGGAGGGAGAGGGGAACGGGGGGGCCCCCACAGGCCGCAGTGCAGGGGAAGTTCACCGGGCTCAGGGAGGCAGGGGGAGGCAGCGTGCGCGCCCACCCTGGGGCCTGGGCGGTGACGAAGGTGGGCGCTCAGAACACGCCAGCACAGGACACTGAAGACCCAACTTCCCCTCCCAAAGGCAAGTAAGAGCACTGGCGGGGAGCCCCGCAGGGCACGGGGCAGAGGGACAGGTGGACAGACGGGATGAAGAGACGGGTGGGCAGGTGTCAGAGGAGGGGCGGGGCGAGGAGGGAGAGGCGAAAAGAGGGACGGGGCGAGAGAGGGCGGGGTGAGAAGTGGGGCGAGGTGAGAGGAGGGGCAGAGAGGGGGAGCGGGAGCGGGGGAGGGCACCCTCTGCCCTGCCTGGCCCTCAGGTGCCCGGTCACCTCTCGCGGCCCATGAGCCCACCAGCCCGGGAGCACTGAGGAGCGAGCACTCTCACTGCCCCCTGAGGCCTGCAGCGGCTGGTGGGAGGGTCTGCAGGGCCGGACACCCCTGCCCGAAGCCTGCCTGTGCCCAAGGGGACCCAAACCCAGTCGGGGCCCACGCCCTGCCCTGTGGCTCTGCACCCACGAAGGCGGCCGGGCCAGTGAAGGGCTCTGCAGGACCCCGAGCCGCTAGCCATGCCGCCCGGCTGCCTGCCCAGCCGCCCACCCAGCCTGCCCTCCCTCCGTTGACCAGGAACCTCCAGCTCCGGGAGTGGGGGCTCGGCTCTCTGGGGTCCCAGGGGACAGGGACAGGAGCCATGGGAAGAGGGGGCCCAGAACTCCGCGCCTCTCAGCTTCTCCACCGCAGGGTGGGCCAAGGTCACGCCATGCCCCCTTCCAAGGTCTTCACCTGCCTATGACCACAGCAGGACCTGCGGGTGACCCAGCGAGCCCCAAGTACTTCCCCCTCGGCTGGGCCCAGAACACCCGGGATCCCAGCCGTGTCTCAGCCGCCCACCGCCTTTGGCCAAGCCTCCTCCCTCCCTCCCCTCGCCCACACCCGGAGGCTTCTCTCCCAATGGCACCCAGGCCTTTAGCTCGTTAGCTCGTGATGAGGGGCACTGCTCCTCCATCTCCAAAAGCTAATTAAAGCTGCCTGCCAATCCGCAGGTGGCCGTGAAAACAGAGAGAGAAGAGACGTGTCCTGCAAATCTAGAGGGCATGGGCGGGCATCAAACACCGCCCAGACGCCGCAAACAGTCTGGGGGCTCAGGGGCTCCATTAACCTGGCTGGCTCTCGGTCCCTCTTGAACATGATTCCTTTCCTCCTACCCAGCCCTCCTGACATCCTTCTAGGTAAGTTTCATTTAATGAAAAACTCTCTTCTGGGTCTGGAGCAGTAGCACAGCGGGTAGGGCGTTTGTTTGCCTCGCACGCGGTTGACCTGGGTTCGATCCCCGGCATCCCATAGGGTGACCTGAGTACCGCCAGGAATAATTCCTGAGTGCAGAGCCAGGAGGAACCCCTGAGCATCGCCAGGTGGGACCCAAACTCCCCCCTGCACCCCCCCCCAAAAAAAACACTCTCCTGTTTCAGATTTGGGAATGGAAAGAGAGGCAGTGACCAAAAATGACAAAAGCAGCAGGGGTGCAGGGAGGTAGGAACGGAGGGAGAATGAGAGAGCGCCCAAGAGTCCCAGCAGGGGACCAGGCGAGAGAGAGGCCTCTGGCGTCCCCGAAAAAGGCCCCGGAGGCCGGTTCCTAGAGAGCCGCGCTCGGCAGTAGCCAATCGGTGTCCGTGTGAGTCTAGGTCTGCAGGTGCTGCAGGACCTGGGCTGAGCTGCTGCCTCTTCTGCAGAGAGCAGCGGGCTATCGATCAGAGTCTGCACAGGCCCCAGGGGCTCAAGTGCTTTAAAGGGGCCCTGGACTGCGCACTAATGCGCCCCCTTTGTTGGGTTCCAACTGTCTCCCCGGCACCTGGTCTCAGCAGCACAGCTGGGCAAACACAACCAGGAGCACACAATCTTTGGCGCCATCTTTCAACGACTGTCCATGCAAATATTTGCAGGTGCAAAGGTCAGCCGCAGCGTGTGGGATGCAGAGGTGACTCAAGAGGCAGCCAAGAGTGGGACCAGACAGGGCAGGGGGACGGAAGCGTCGGCACCAGCGTAACGGACATGCGAAGGCACCGGGAGACGACTTTCCTCTGGTGGGAGCAAGGCTCGTCCTGCACGCAGCTCACCCCAGTTACATCCCTGGCATCCCAGATAGTCCCCGAGGGATGCCAGAAGTGATCCCTGAGCACAAAGGCAGGAGTAAGCCCTGAGCACAGCCCTGAGGACTTTGGTGGGGCCCAGCGCCCTCCCCTCCAAAGGAACAAAGACAACAGCAGTACGAAAAGGGGCAGTTCCAGGAGGGCTGGAACGAAGCCTCAGGTCCCATCCTCACACTGCAGCATCCCCTGACCAGAGCACCGCCAGGTGTGACCAAAAATCAAAAATAAAAAAAGCCAGTGCCTCAAGTTCAGATGCTCTGTGGGGAGGGGACGCACCCCCCAGAGGTTCTTGACAATCTCCCTGACCCCACTGGGAAGCCCAGTACACTTTAACCAACACACACACACACACACACACACCTGTACACACTTACTCCTGCACAAACACGCCTGTACACACTCCTGACACACACATGCCTGTACATGCAGTTCAGAACACAAATGCCTGTACATGCAGTCCTGCACACACATGCCTGTACACGCAGTCCTGAACACACTTCTGCACACACTCCTGCATATACACACCTATACTCCTGCACTCACACTTGTGCACACGCCTGTCCTGCCCAGTCTCCTGCCCTCTCAAACTGCAGCAACACATATGCCTGTACACACACACACACAAACACACACACACACACACACACACACACGAAACGGCATCTGTAGATTCAAGCTGTGGGTGGTTGTTCCCCCGCCCCCAACTCACAGAATTTCAGGCAAGATCCATAAAGCCCGTAACAATTCCCCTCCCCAGAGGTCAAATCCAAATTCACTTAAGCAATAATAACTCCAAGAAAAAAGGCTTGCAGGGCTGGAAAGGCAGTAAAACCCTGGCGGAAAGGGACCCTCCTGCACCAGGAAAAGAGCCAAGTAGGAAATAACTGCACTGCTGACTAGCTGCTGACTAATTAGACCAAGAATTCTCCAGAAAGGAGGATTCCCTGGGGGTGCGGGCGAGGGAGGTGGGAGGGGAAGTCCTAGGCCCTATGGGCCTCAGCCCCCGGGGAGGGTCCCGCTCGGGGCAGCTCACCTGCCTGCAGGGGGCCGTGTGCATCCCCTCGTCTCAGCCAAGTGCCACCAACACCGGGCTCCGGTGCAGCCCAGTTGGAGGGGTCCCGCCTCATGGAGGCTTCTGGGCATTTCACCCTAAAATCCCTAACTGCGGGCGGGTCAGGACGAAGAAGCCAAGCCCTGCATGTGGGGAGGCCCGGGGGTGACACCCCGCTACTGCACTGTCCTTCCTCACCTCCTTCTTCCCAGCACATGGCCAGAGAGGCCTGCAGCACCACCGGGCGGACATAGACCCAAACCAAACTCTAAAGGTGGTCGCCCCATCAAGAGAGGCTCCACTGGGCCACCACAGAGCCACCAGCCACATCTGAGTCGCCCTCGGGCATAGGCTGCACCTTCCAACGGCACCACAGCCGGGCTGTTTGGCCTGCAAAGGCCCCTCACACAGGGCACGCGGGCACGACCCCGTTCACACCGGGCACGCGGCACGGCCCCCTCACACAAGGCCTGACCCGCCTACAGGGCCGGGACCCTGCAAAGGAGTCCAGGCATTTGCCTAGACGTGGCCAAGTCGGATTCGATCCCTTGGAACTGTATTGGATTCCCCAAGCACCACCAGGAGCGACCCCTGAGCACAAAACCCGGAGTAAGCTCTAGTACTGCCAGGTGTGGTGCCAAAACAAAACCAGTAACTATGACTGTGTGCACTGGCGAGCATTGGAACCAGAAATGGGGTTGGGGGAGCACAGCAGGAAGCCGCAGGGAGGACTCTGCAGGAGTAGGGCGGGCGCCACGCTACTAACACCCACCCCCCAGGGGTTCTTTCCCACGGCAACGCTGGCCCACCCATCAAACACCACACAGAATGGGTTCAGAAGTCACCAGACACCCATGTCCAACTTCTAACCCGGCTCAGACGCCGTAACCTAAGTCACAGGTGAAACGTAATGCTGGCCAAACCCACGGTGCCAGGCCGGGCATTCATTTATTTATAAGCCACGTATGTCAGTGGGGCAGCGTCCGAGCCACCGTCCCCTGCGCTGTCCCCTCTGTACCCCAAAGTGCCACTCTGCCGAGCGGAAGTCAGGGGGCAGCTTCTGACTTCAATCCAGGTCTGGGCAACGGGGGAAGGGCATCCCAACAAACTCGTGCAGGGGGAAGAGGCGGGGTGGGGGGCTGGCTGGTGCCACACCCCCAAGAGCCTCCACTGACTGTGGATCTGGGTCCCCGGGCTCGAGGCTTGGCATGCTCAGACCGAAAGGCCAGGGGTAAGTTCCAAGAACTCGGGGTTCGGAATCTATCTGGACACTCACGGGCAAGAGAAAGGAAAGCCAGAAGGTCAAAACGAGTCAACGGGACTCCATCCAACGGAACGTTTCTGAAGAGGGAAAGACACTCCCACGAGACCAAAACCAACATCTGCCAACCTTGCAACAGGAAGAAGAGTTACGCGTCGCAGGTGGCAGCAGTCAACGCTCAAAACACAAAGCCAGGGGCGGAGAAGGGCACGGCGGGAGGGCACTCGCCTGGCTGACAGCGGACCCGCGTTCGGCCCCCCAGTGGCCCATACTGCCCTCGAAGCCGGGAGGAACCCCCGAGACGGCCAGCTAGCCCCCACACAGAGCAAACAACTGCAGCATGCATCGCCTCACTGAGTGGCCTCTCTCGTGCTCTGT